TGCTGAACATGTTGATTGACTGTCAATGTAGCCGGCAATGAATTGAATCAGGGTGTGTGTGTGTGTGTGCGTGCGCGCAGATGCGTACGTCGTTGTAAGTTTATTTTGCACTTATCAAAATGCTCGATTTCAAACACACACACATATTCGTTTTAATAGGACTTCCTTTTCTGACCTTATGCTAACCTCAAAGTGCCGTATGGGGAATACATGGATATAATAATTAAAGCAATAGTATCGGGAAAAATATCTGTATCGGCCGATATCCAAATCCAGGTATCGAGATCGGATCGGAAGTGAAACAACGTGGATGGGTGCATCCCTACTGTCAGAAGGTGGATTTCAAGAACGTCATTGACAATAATCAACGACAAAAAAAAAAACAAAAAACAAAGGGCAGAATATATATTAGAATGCATAATATATGGCAAATATATGTGACATATCCTATCACTCTATTAAAACAAACTGTATATCAAGAAAAAAAAATATCACCAGCATTCTGTGGACCAAAGTTGACTACTCTGTATACACAGCGCGAGTCTACGTGCGCGAGCGGTGTCAATTGACTTTTTTTTAAGTGTTGTGTACAAAGATATATTTCTCTGAATGTTTAATGCAAAATGGATTCTTCTGAATGTTTAATCAGTCTTGTTTTTTGTTTTGTTTTTTTCAATTTATATATACTCATAGTCAAGGATTTCATATACTTGCATGTCTTCGTCCATAAACCACTGTATGAGTTGCTGCCACCTAGTGACTGGAGGCTTTCTAACATTCAAGCCCCTTGCGCCCCCCGCCCCCACTAATTTGAGAAGTACTGATTTAATTGAAAACACCTAAGCATATACCGAGTAACATTTTCAGAAATCATATCATACATGAACTCCACTACTATTATACCCTGACTTTCAGTTGTTGTTATTATAACATGGAAATTAAATGCTTCCTACCTGTAGTGCTAGAATTGTGGATGCAGGTCTGGGGCACCATGCCTGAGTGAACTGAGGTGGAAGCACAACGGTTGAGATCCACCCCAGAGGCTGCGGGGGTAACCGTTTGCTGTTGTTGTTGTTGTTGTTGTTGCTGCTTTTGCTTTTGCTTCTGCTGCTGTTGCTGCGCAGGTGGCCGTGGCACCTGCTGAGCCTGGTCACTCTGGGTCGTGTTCGTGGGAATGCCGTTCTCTGACAGAAACTCCTCCAGGTCCATGTACTCCAACTGAAAGTTGTCCCCGTCGTAGGGCAGCGTCTTGTCCCACAGGGTCGGTCCAAGAAAGGCCGACTGTGGGTGGTTATTGGTGCCGCTCTCATCGTCGAGCTTCTTCTCCAACACCTTGCCTTTTCCAAACCCTGTTAATTTGTAGATACAGTCGCACGTCAGTGTGAATTATATTTAAATGATAAAAGAAAATAAAATAAAAAATAAAGTCCCACTCGCCCTGTCGGAGAGGCTGTAAAGTTAAATAATAAAAACATATATTTTGTTTTAAATTATATTTGATATATATTAAATATTAGTACTTATATAGGAATCCACCAATTGCCTATTGACACCAGTTACAGTATCTCTTCCAATATTGGCTAGATCAGGCAGGGGCAAACTAAGGCCCGGGGGCTAGATGTGGCCCGTTCATCTTTTTAATCCGGCCCACCAAACTTTTCCAAATTATATAATTTATTTATATTATCATTATACATTTGCCCTTTTCCTGCAAAACACATGTTTCCCCAATAGATGGCGTAGAAAATGAGTTTTAGCATTTTAGCATTTTAGCCTTGGACCATTGTGTAAGACACAACCTGCGCTTAAATATGAAAACATTATCTAGCAGAGGACATTTTAACACAACCCCACGCTCAAATACGAAAACATTATCTAGCAGAGGACATTTTAGGCCAGTTTTGTCCATTCAACGGACAAATGAGCAGACAAGTTCAGTCATATAATAATAATTTGTATCATTTTGTGTTAAAAAACAAAACAAAACAGATCTGCTGCAACAGGCTACCACTTGGAGGCACTAAACATGTGTTTCCTCTGGGGCTTGAACCCAAGAAAGGCAGAAAAGAAGCAGGGATATTAAAAAAGAACCTATATCACTTATGTCCAAACTGGATATGGAATCTTGCCCTTACGTTATTTTTTATGTTTAAGCCAGTTCAACATAAACGTCCGAGCCACTACAAGTCCCTTCTTTTATTTATAAAAGCTTTACTAGCTCTTGCTAACAAAATAAATTCACACATACATGGTATTTTTGAAAACTACAATGACAACTGCCAAATAAAACAAGTAGTCGCAGCATACGCCGTACACCCCACGTATACGCTTCACTACGCCGCTGTCTACACGCCATATTTTAGTGGTTTTAGAAACCGTAGGGAACAATTTACCAAACAGTCGAATAGCTGCAGGAGTAGGAAAAAGCTACGCCCTCTACCGGCCGCTAGCAGTGCCACCAAATCCCACACAGGACAAGACAGGGTTTTAATAGGTTATAATTACGCTTGTACGCTTTAAACAGTAGTCACTAGAGTCATGGCACAAAGTTATGTTCGACGTTGACAACAAAAAAAAAACAAATCCTTAAGTTAATCATTGTCCAGCGACTTTCGAAGCCCAGTCAACCATTGCACGGTTTAATACTTCTACCTTCTGCCCAAACTATTGCTTTCTATCCCCCACAAGGTCGTGCAATGCGCCACAATGTTTAGATTTAGCCATCACCTATCTATGTCTCTCTGAATATCATATCACTCAATAAAATAAAGAAATTATTTGCGGAATATATACGTATTGCCACCATAGACGCACTCACGCGCATTGTAAGACAAACATCTCGTCCTTATATTGAAATATTGAAATAAAAAAACGTACCTTCGTCGTGTTGAAAAGGCAGCTTGAGTGGATTCTCCAGCAAGGATTTGAGGACGCCGTGACTTGGCATCAAGAAAGTAGGATTTATAGAAGGTCTGGCCATGTTATACGTCAAACTGTGATTTAAACGTATAGAGAAAAATGTAGATATTAGTACAAATTTGAAAAAGAATGCAACTGTGGGTTGTGAAGCTAATTCTGTTGCTGCTAATTCCCAGCCTCGAAGAGACGCAACCGCACTCCTGGCCGGCCCGTGGAGAAGCCTTAGCCCGGAACGACTGAGACGACAAGGAAGCAGAAAACGCCGTGAAACAGTCCGGCTAGCGCCTGGTTGTCTGTCGCAACTGAGGCTGGAGCAGCGGATGACCGAAGGTGGGCGGAGAAACGGAGGGAGCACATGCGTGTGCTGACGTCGGTGACGTCAGAAATCTGTTCTTGTGGTGCGTTCACATTCCTTAGAAAAGTCCAGTTTCTTTCCTACCTTGGCCATTTATGTATTACCGTATATCAGTGGTTCTCAAACTGTAGTACGCGGGGGAAAATTCATATTTTCTCCACCATCTTTGGTGTATATCAGTGGTTCTCAAACTGTGGTACGCGGGGGGAAATTCATATTTTCTCCACCATCTTTGGTTATTTGATCTAATTTAAACATTATCAAGGAATGTAATGGTAACTGATGAAGTTTACATTTGGAATTCAACATTTAACATTTAACTGTCACCTGGATATAACCCACACCACTATTATCCATCCAGGAATCCATTTTTCCACAACATGCCCTTTACATTTAAATATGCATAAAAGGTATTTTTATCCAAGATCTACCATGGACCAAAATATCACAAAAACCTAGTCAGTCAGATTCAAGAATCAACTTGACCTACATTCAATAAAGGGCTGTTTCAACTACAATTCCATCTGTACTAATTCTAGCACATGCAAATACAGCATATGCTGCCAGGTGGAGTATTCTTTTGTTGAAGCATTTGCGATTCTGACTGTACACTACTCATTTTTTTTCTTTGTCAGTCGTTAGTTTTTGTCCTAAGACCAGGATTACCCCCAGCTAAAAGAAAAGAGTAGCTAAAGGTTGAGACAAATTGACCTGTTGCATAGTAACATATTTCAATGTTAAAGTAAAACATACTTTAAAGGAGGTTGACATACTACAGTCAGCTCATGAAATGCAACACTTGAAAAGACCAACTTTTTTTTTTACGTCATCTTTATTTTGTTATAAAAAATGAAATTGAAATGAATATTTGTCAAAAACCTACTTATGACATGTCACATCTGACAATGCTACTGAACTGAACTAAACTGGACTGGACTGAACTGAACTGAACTGAACTGAACTAAAACTGAGCTGAGCTGAAACACTGCTTTGTTGTGTCCATTTATGGGATTAAAAAAAACCAACAAGAACAATTTGAACATAGTTAAAATATGTCATACACAGACACATGTAGTACTACTTTGACCTGAATTGTATAACACTGCTGTGAAGTCTGATTTAAGCGTGGAGACTAACAATAAGAATTGTTTTGGAAAAAAACAAAACAAAACTTCGAAGCACAGTTCATGTCAGTCTACTATGTTGCATTCCTCTCCATGATGAATTTATCAGAGAGCTTGGACAATCACTGTCGGCACAGCTGACAAAGCTGCTGATGGAATATTCTGCTGTAAACTGGGCTACACTAATTGCCTCCGTGACAAAATGTTGCTGACTTATTTGATTTATTATACATTTTTTTAAAAATGGTATGTAAATAGTTTCACACACAACCATACTGTACTACTTATATATAATAAATAAAGCATTTATCAGTTGACACAGTTGACACTAAAAAAGCAAAACGAAAAGTTAAGTTAAACACAAAAATGTAATTTTCTTCCTCGCAGTTACAAGGAAACTCCCCGAAAACATGACAAAACTAGAAAACATTTTTTTATTATTTCATTATTTCAACCAACTAGTGAAGACAGCAAAATGATCTCACAGAGAACCAAGACAACAATGTTGGAATTAAAAAGGACCTAATTAAAAAATAATACAATAATCCTGCAGCGCCGAGGCTCTTAACCATTGAAGTGATGTTTAATCCGAAACAAAAATATTTCCTGTTACATAACACCAAGCACACAGTCTCAAACAGTTTAGCCTTGTAACAGCAACAGCAGCAGCGCACTTTCTCTGAAAGTACTGCAGCAAAACAAGATACATCACAACACGACGAAACATGAAAAAAAAAAAAAAAAAAAACGCAAAAAAGACATAAGAGAAACAAATTGTAAAAAGAGGAATAGACCAAAAGAGAAAAAAAGGAAATTTCAAGACAAAGTCTTTGATATATATATATATATATACTGTATATATATATATATACACCAAAATTTCCAGACTATTAAGCGCACCTGAATATAAGCCACATCCACTAAATTTAAAAAGAAAAAACTATTGTACATATACTATACTTACATATACTTCTATATTTCTACAGAAAGATTTTTTTTTCACTTTTAATTAAATCAAATGAACAAAAAATTAAATTAAATATATGCTTTTTAACACCGGTGTACATCAGATCCACTATCACCGTTTTTTCGGACTATATCGCACACGTTTTTTTTTTATCCTTTGGCTGGGTTTACATTAACTTAAAATTAAATATATGCTTTTTAACACCAGTGTACATCAGATCCACTATCACCGTTTTTTCAGACTATATCGCACACGTTTTTTTTTATCCTTTGGCTGGGTTTACGACTTATACTCAGGTGAGACTTATATATTAAAATATATATATCGTGTTATTTTCACACTGACAGCCACTAGAGGGCACTCCAAACTTGTGTACCAGTATCTGCTCCAACTGTACCACTGAAAATGTACATGTTCATTATTTTCACACTGAAAGCCGCTACAGGGCACTCCAACTGGCTGGTGCGACTTATACTCCAGTGCGACTTATATGTGTATTTTTTTTCTTCTCCACTATGCATTCTTTGGCTGGCGTGATGTGTAATTAAAAGTGAAAAAAAAAATCTTTCTTTTATACCAATAATGTAGATTTGCACTGCATTTTGTGTTTAATAAAGAGGCACCAGAATCCATCAGATAAAGATAAACCAAAGTCCTTTAAGTTACGAAACAGCCTGCATTCCAAGTGGGATCTGACTGAGCCTGGTCTCATGAGCTCCTGTGTCCTGTGTTGACTGAAAACAGATTCATTCTAGCAGAAAAAAAATAGAAAGAGTTGAGAAAAAAAAAAAAAAGAATCCCAGAAATGTTGTAAAAATAATGGAATATATATATTTATGGAAATATATATATATATTCCATTATATTTTACAGCATTCCATTCCATTATATTGTGAGTGCCATTGTTTCAACACTTTTGTTAATTCATCTACCACTTCCTGGCCGCCAATTTACAGATCCAAGCATTTCCTTTAGGGTCAAACAGAGGCTGACGTAGCATGGTTAGTTATTCACTAATTTTTTTTTTTTTTTTTTGCTTGTTTCACGGAGACAAGAAAAATTTGGCAGCCATACTTTATCTGGAAGAACGGGGAAATGTTTCTGTGTACAGCTGGCAGGGCTTCATGTCACTCAGATCACAGTCAAGAATCC